TCTCTGCCTGCAGAGATGGGGACTGAACCCAGGACTTCATGCATGCAAGGTGAGAACTCTAACACAGAGCCACATCTTCAACTCAAATTACTTTTCTGGAAGCACTGGGTAGTCTCAAGCAATGTAAGATTTTTGACTAGTCAGCCCATCAAAACAGACCAGCAAAATAGCATTAAAACACAAAACACAGCCACTGAGTGTAGACTTTAGTCTACTACATTTCATTATCCATATTACCTCCCGGGGTTGGCCACATTAATTCACACACTTTTAAGTGCTGAGTTACTTTTTATAGTATATGCTACATGTCAAAGTGTAGACAGGAGAGTAACTCCTGGGGCTGGAGAAATGGTAAGGTGGGTAAAGCATTTGCATGCACGGGTGAGGACTTGAGTTTGGATCCCATGCCTGCAATCCCAACACACCTACAGTGAGATGGGAGGCGGATACTGAAGCCCCAAAAGTCCAATGATCTGCTAGGCTGGTATACCCAGAGACAAATAAGAGACCCTGTCTCAAACAAGGTGGGAGGCAAGGCCTGAAATCCATGGGATGCCCTCTACCCTCTACACCAACCCTGTGACACACCCATGTCTCCTCAGAATTAAAAAAAAAAAAGGTAAAAAGTATCCAACTCTCATCTGACAATCAGTGGAAATAAAAAAAGAGAGCATTTAACTAGCCAGCTATGCATCTGCTTCTAGAGCCTCAAAAACCCTTTGGGTAAACATGAAGTTGGCCATTCTTCACTGGACTTAGACCAGCTTTGAGAAAAAGGACAAGAGACAGCCTGCTCGGTAGTTTCTCAAAGGTTCTGGCCTTCTGTTCCAAGCCTCGTGATGACAGGTGCGGCTCCTTGCCTGCCTCCATCTGTGGCCTGGCGGAGAACTAGAACCGGCCCCTCACACCAGCAAGAACATATGGGCTGGGACAGGAGCAGCAGCCTCTCCTTCCCATGGTATCTGCTCCCTGCCTGCCTCAGCTTGTCCCTTTAGTTCTTGCAGGTAGCTCCCAACTCACTCCAAGTGTGAAACATGTTTCCAGCGTGACGGCTGATACAAAGGAAAGAGTATGTGACCCCCATCTCTATGTTCTATAGCATGATCAAGTGAATTCCGTGAATCTGGCAGACTTAGGAGCAGGATGCCATAATACCAACCTCTAGATCCCTTTGCTTAACCCTTATCCTAAAGTTTGTGCCCAATATTCGCTTTTCTGAGGGGGAAAAAAAAAGACGGCACACACATGCAATTTGACTATCATAGTCTTGCCTATGTG